AAAAAAAAAAAAATTTTTTTCTCATTTTTAAAAAATTATATAGACAGTCTAAAAAGTTTTTGAACTATGAAACATTGAATCATCTGCAAGAAAACTGTTTTGCATTCTTCTGAAAGGCATAAATTCTGGTTTTCAAGTAAACGACAATTTCTAATGTTACACTTTTCATAAACAAATTTGGCGAAGTAAACATTGTGCGTATTATTTCCAGAACAGATACCTGATTTTGACAACTTCTATTTAATGTTCTTCCTTCATCTGATGCACAACAGTTTACGGCAAACAAACATCCGTTCTCAACCACGAAGTATTGGTTATCTTAACTGCAAGTGAAGTAGTTTCTTTTTTCACTGAAAAGATAGCCAGCTATTTTTTCCCCTCGTTTACAACGTTTCTCATTCCGAACTCTGAAACTGCTTAATTACTAATAACATCGGTTTTTGTTTGCTTATTTACCTTTCTGATATCATTTAGAAAGCGCAAAAAATGAAAATTTCTTTCTTTTCCTTTATTTGTTTTTTATCATCAGCGATGACCATGGGTAATTGCCAGACTAAAAGTCTGTAATATGTTTAGACTAAGACAGTATCAAGCTTAAATCTGCCAGAGAAGTAAGTATACTGTATCTTCGTTGTTACTTTTTTTACACATAATCCTCACCGTTTTTATCCTGTGTTTTGTATGCACACCCTCATCTTAGTCCTAAACTTTTTTTTCTTCACTGTTGTCTTTTAATTTTTGATATTTTGTCACTCGTTTTTGATTTGCTATATGACTGAAAAATCACTCAAAAATACGTCGACAAACAAAATTTAGAATTACTATTAGCAAAAAATAGTCTTCAAATTACAATCTGTTTTGACCTTTCGTGTAAATTTTCTATTTATTTTTATTTTTTGTAGTGTTCTTTGTCGATAAAATTTAATTTTTACGAAAGTGATATCGGAAAACTTGTGTACGCATTTGTATAAAATGCTCATAAACAAGTTGTTTTATAATTGTGCAAAGAAAAAATCCCTCATGCTTCTACTTTTTTGCAGCAACAGCCGCAGCAGTTTATTCCAGTATGAAATCCTTATTAGTGTCATTATTTTGCCTGTTTCTTGTAGTCTCTGTATATGGCTCAAAGTAAGTTTATTTTTGCAAATTAAGCATAAACCAACAAAACAATAACTGAAAATACTGCTATTTTTCTTGTGCCAAAAACATAAAATAAAACTTATTTGTTTAAGCTACCGGATAAAACGACAGTATGGAGGATTTGGACCATTTGGTGGTAGACCTGGAGGAGGTGGATTTGGCGGAGGAGCTTATGGTGGTATGGGTAGACCTGGAGGAGGATTCGGAGGATTCGGTGGCCAGACGGGAGGCTACGGTGGTATGGGTAGACCTGGAGGAGGATACGGTGGCCAAACGGGAGGCCCTGGTGGTACGGGTGGACCTGGAGGAGGATTCGGAGGATTCGGTGGCCAGACGGGAGGCTACGGTGGTATGGGTAGACCTGGAGGAGGATACGGTGGCCAAATGGGAGGCTACGGTGGTATGGGTAGACCTGGAGGAGGATTCGGTGGACCCGGCGGTTACGGCGGTCCAATGTACGGATAAAAATAATTATTATATTGTTGTCATTATCGCTGTACAATTTTCAAACTATTCATCCACAAAGAGATATCTCATTAATCCCCAAATTAATAAATTTTTGTTCATAAACTTCGGCGAGGCAATCGAACATCACTACCGTTCTGGAACTGAGCGCAATATAAACATTTATCTGAAAGAATTTAAGCATACTACTTTTACAGCAAATTTCAGACAGCTTCAGTCGATCAATTTAGCAATTTTGTCGCGCTGGTATACTGCTTACAAATTATGAAAAAAATTAAATAAAAATGAAAAAAACAGTTTACCTCCAAAGCAATTATAAATGGTCTAAAAAATTTAGCAGTAACACGTTTGCGAAAATTTACAGTTTCATTTCCTCCCTCTGTTACCGTCAACTAAAACTGCTAAAAAAAAAAAAAAAAGAAAAAAAACATGAACGATGATCAGGAGAATTGCCCAGCAGTAACAACACTGCATCTGTAACTGGTTATTTTAAGACTGAAAAAGTTGATGCAGATATATTAAACTTACAACAACTATAATATTCATAATATTTATCAACTGTAAGTTTCAGATGCCATCTTATTGTCAACAACCAAAAAAAATTCGCTTTTAGTGTACTTTTTACTTCAGACCCTTTTTTTTCTTGCTTCAGCAAACTAATTATTTCCTTTTTTAAGAAACCCAAAATATACTGTTGAAGAGACAATATTTTCACTTTAGACTCTTCTAAAGCTGCAGTTCACTGCTACTCCACGACTACCATTCTCAACTCAAAATATGCAGTTTGCTTACATTAACAAAGCTGCAATCTTTCATCAAAATTTAAACACTTTTTCAATCAACAGTGCCATATGAAATTTCATTGAAAACTCTTCTTCGACTACACGTATAAAGTAGAAGACCAAAAAAAAGTGAAAAACAGTATAAAAATGTCTGCCTTTTAATGCAGATTAAATTGTGTTAAATTTTCGAATTGCGTTAGAACGGTATCTTTTTTTTTTTTTTAAATTGCTTTCCATTAAAAAGTACAAAAAAGTTGGGTTTGACGCCCCTATAGATCAAACAATTATTTTATGACCAAACTGAACTAATGTCTCAAAAACTGTTATGTAACGAAAAAATTTTGCACAAAAAGTAGTAGACAAAGTATTTCTCAACTCTTTTAGAACCATTGCCTCTTCTTTGAAAGTTTGCGTTCAGCAGTAAAATCGCCGATTGTTTCGGTGTAAAAGCAGAACAGCAAAGTACACTTACCATAATTTTATCTCAATCTTCTTGCCATGTTATTATCACCTTGCACCAGATGAGAATTTTATGTTCATTTCATTATATGAAAGGGAAGGAGAGGAAGAGAAAAAAAAATTATTCTTACAAAGAAAATAATCGTTAACTTAGGGCCTTTTTAGCGGAATTTTTGAAGCAGACTTTTTTTTTCATTCTAATGGGTAAAAATTACCAAAATATTCAGCTAATGGTAAAACCTAATATTTTTAGAATTAATCCAGATCTATTTGTAAAAAAAAAAAAAAAAAAAA